ACCTCGACTAATCTCACGGCACAACGGCCTGACCCTACAACATTTGGTGTCGGAAAATACAAAGGAATTACTAATTCCTAAGGTAAGTGGCCATCATGGGATTTGAACTCATCCCTCTTAATTAACCATAGCCCCTTTGGACCAATAAGCCACCATGATGCTATATAACCATTTCCCTTCACGAACTTTCAGTAAAACCTTGTCAGTCATTAACCACCAGAGTTTTCTTAAATTTCTTGGTCTTGGTCAAGTCAACATGGCCTGGATTGTGGTTGGGTTTGGGGCAACCAAGATGATATGTTCCAAGTACTCCAAATTCCTTTGACAAAAATAGCTTATACTATAAATGAGGAGATTGCCAAAGAAGACCACCACAAATAGTTGTAAAATAAGGACATAAACTTCATTAATCAATGCTTGGAACATTGATGGGGCGTTTGTGATGTCGCAACATAATGAAGAACTCATAGTGCCCCTCATGGCAAACTTTTATTAGTTGTTACCCCATTTCAAGGTCACAAAAAATAGCCACATCATATAATTCATCTATGATAAGATTTGACATGGTCTCCCTATTTAATGCTTAGTAGTCCACACAAACCTCCAAATACCGTCCTATTTCTACCCTAAGAGCATTGAGCTTGAGAAAGGGCTTCTGCTTGGTCAAATTATTCCAACAACCAAACTCTCCAACTAAACATTTTATTTCATTCTTTTGGGCTTGAGGGTATACATAGGGTGTTCACTAATTAGCAATGGCAAGCCTTCATGTAGGTGAATGGAATGATCATGGGAGAAGTCCACTCAGCATGGAGAATACAACCAGATACTTTTTCAACCCCCTGAAACAAAACTTTTGATTGAATACAAAAGTTTCAAGCATCATTGAGTCTGCCATCGCAAATATTGAATCATTTATCTCCTCCTTAATTGCACGGATAAAAAAAAAACCCTTGATGCCCAAAAATACTGTGGAGTGACACAATGAAAGACTTCTTTGCAGCAAAACGATCTCCCCTCCATCATAAACTTCATAGACAATATCTTCAAATTGCATGGATGATATCATAACTCCCTAAGCTTTTCTCATATTTGAAAGCAAGACTTCAGCTCCTCAACAGATGTCCTCCCCCTAAATGGACTTTTCTGAGCATATAAAGACAATAAACACACTAGTGGCACCTTCTAAATTCTCGACTATCCAAACTTTGACTTGATGAAGTTCAGGTCACCCTATTGTCAATTATGGCTATTATGGCCTCTTCCATAAATTTCTTGTGACCTTCATTGTATAGGGGCAAAATGATCCTCATAGTGGAGTTTAGTAACGGTTGCTACAACCTGTAGTGATCCTCATAGTGGAATTTAGTGGTGGTCGCTACAACTTGTAGTGGTCCTTCAACCTCGTCGTACACTCCTCTTCTCCCATCCACCTTCCTTCCTCATCCTCATATTCTTCTTAAGCCAATAAAATGGCTCTTTATTCAAAGGCTATCTCCCCCTTGTCCATCAATACCATGCCAACATTTCACTCAACATATTCATCACCACTGACTCCGTCTCTTTGGCTTTTGATAAATGATTCAACTCAAAATTGTGCTTCACCCAAAATATCTAACGATCAAGATCACTTCCATTGAACACCAATAAGTTAATTATCTCCACAACCATTTCAAAACACTTCCTCTCCTCCATATGCGTCCAACTGATTACCCCAATTCCTCCCACTAGATTCATGTCCGCTAACTATTTCTTTCCAAGAATTTTCCCACGAAAATGGAAGGATCAATAACTGTCCTCTTCGATTCTTACTTCTTCATGAACGGGTTCAACCTTTGACTAGCATATCCACACTCTTCTCTATTGACGGTATCTTCTGAACTTCCTCTGTCATTGTTCCCAAACATTGTTCAACAGCTTTAGTTTGGTTGTTCATTTTCTCCCTTCTTAGCATGCCGAAAAAGTGTTCTAATACCTTAGCCAAAATATGAAAATTATATTGATAGAGGAAAGGGTTCACAGCTCACAGAAAATAAAGAGGCATGTGTATCTCCCAACAAAGCTAAATTTCTCACTACCCCCCTCCTACCAACAACCATTTATACTAACAGTATCTTACAAAAGGCCTTATGTCACTCATACACAAAATGCACTCACTCCTCATATGCTCCCCAACCTCTGATAGCTAACAAACTCAAGCATTACGTAACTAGCCCATAACTCAAGCACACAAGACTTCTTCCTTGTATATGTAAAAGATATCTGGGCTGCCCTCTACATATCAAAAAGATGATGGAAAATAGTAAATACCAGAGGTGGCCGCACACGAGCTGTTCCTTTTCCTACATCATTTTGTAAAGCATCGGACTTCCCATGAGTATGTTCACCAGGAATATCATGGATACCTGCAGCAGCTGCTAGCTCTGGAGGCAAATCAGGATCATAGCCCTGAAAATGAAAGAAGAAAAAGCTTTCCAAGATTGAAGAATGTTGTAAAAGAACAAGAATTTAAAGAGAATAAAATATGGCTGAAAGAACTTGCTTCTTCTATGAAAGAAGCATCAACTAACCTGTTCTGTCCGTCCACTCTCATATACACGAATCTTGCTTTGCATAGTAGCCTCCAGGCGGAGTTGTTCCTATGAATAAAAATAAAGTAGCCTTATTTTTTATTTTATTATTATTATTTTTTTTTTTTGGGACAACTTTTATTACGAAGAATGAGAGAATAAAACAACAGACATATTGAAAAGACCAAATCGTGGGGAGTACAAAAACCCATTGCATAAAACCCTTGTTACAGCACTTAAAAAGTAAGGGATAATCACAACCAAATAACTGCAAGCACCCCAGAGGAATTGAACAAGCTATAATAAAAAGAAAGGTAAACCTTTACCAGCTGTTTGCAGTATTCTTTCCAGCTATCCTCATTGAGACCAAAGTTGAAAAAGTCAGACATGTCCACTCCAGAAGCTTTCCATGGTTTCTCCTCAAAACTATCAATGTCAACTTCAAAAATGGTCCTGAATGACATAGTTAGGATCAAAACGTACTACAATTAGAAAAGTAGAAAATTGAAATATAATAGTTAGGCAATTGAAACAAAACAACTGAATAATGAAAACGAAGGTGCCCTCAAATATCAAAGTTTTCAGGTCATTTACACATTACTTTGGAAATTTTTGCAATATATAAGCTCCGTTCTGGTTCAAGTCACTCAATTTAATTACAAACCACCGCTGTAAATTACTATTCTTGTTTGAAATTAGTGTCAGATCAAGAATTCAGAAGTACAGGTTTATTGTTAGACCTCCTATAAACATCTAATAGCAGAATCTGACTTCAACAAAACCCTCTTTAGGATCAACTTCAATGGTTCAACCTCTATATTTTTATTTTTTTTTTGCATGAAACAGCAAGCTTGTTTCCTATTCAAGTTTGTCTATTACGTCATTACTCGGTATGTTTTGTGTTAAAAAATATATAGAAACCGTGAGGATTAATGAAAAATAAATATATGCTTCATTGCAATGGAGAACATAAACAAAGGGGTGGGGGGAGGGATTACAAAGCATGTCAGATATAACGGGGTTAAGATCAACCTTATGAATCAAAAAATTGTGTGGATTTAACTTTCTCACAGGAGATAACTGTAATTTGTGTGTTCTATGAACATAATGGAAAAACAGTCTGGATTGTATAGCTTCAACACAACAAAAACATGCAAAGCTCATTTCACTTGCATGGGCACACCAAGGGCATTTAAAATTTTAAAGTTGGAAAATTCCAGAAATTGAAACATGCAATTGGTAACAAACTAAAGCTAGCAGCATATTTCAACATTGAACCCCTTCAGTAGGCCAAGCCAAGTATTACTTGTGTGAGGGCAGAGTGAACTCCAGGCCACCAAAACCACGCCCTCCCATATTATTGCCCCATCCAGGCATTCCGAAACCTGAATGAAAACCTTTCTGCACTGAAGTTGAGTCTTTTGCTCCTGCTGGTCGCCAATCACCTCTGCCACGACCACCAACAGGGCCCATATTGACAAGTGGACGAACTTGACTCGGAGTTCCTCCAGGGCCAGAAGCAGAAGTACCAGGAAAGGGTGCTGCACCAGGTCTCACATACTACATATGCCACCAAGAATACGGGCTTTATTATCAAAACAAGCAGCAAGAAGAAAGTGTGCAAGAAATCTTAACCATCTGCAGTTGAAATCTAAAAAACTATGCTTAACTATTCCTCAATATAAGAGAATCCAAGAATGTCCATAATCATCACTTATCACATACAAGAAACTATACATTTTTGTGTGTTCAATCTGCTACAGCCAGTATTTTGATTAACTTAGACTAAGAAACATAATCTCTTAAAAGATTAACCAATATCCAAGAAAAATAAGAACTACAAAGCAATAAATCAAGTTCATATTAATATCTTGAAAATTGTTCCAAATATCTAGAAAATTCAATTGGAATATGAGTGGTGCCAGGAGTGAGATCAGTACTTTGGTGATTATCTATATGAGTAGTTTCATATATTCACTCGTGGAGGAAGTAAGACAACTAGTAACTATGATATCCTTGACAACTATGTATGTAGGGCTTCCAACACTGCTGTATACAGAAAGTTGTATGTGTGATGGCAGGCATATGAGGAATTCAGTTTTACAAGGAAAAGGCATTTAACCAGTTGAATAGAGTCTAGACAAAGTATCATCAACTAATTCTTTGATAGCTTATTGAAGTGCTTGAAGGACGTGTAGGAAGTGTCTCTGAGATTGTAATCCTGGAACTGAACAATGTCTCCAGCCAGTAGATTTGTAGTACACATCAGAGTTGGTACAGGTAACAATTGGCAGAATGATGATTTTCACCAGCTACCCCCCAGGATAAGTAACTATATATTAGTTATCCAAAATATACAAGGAGGGAACTGATAAGGAATCTCTCCCCAGCCTGAACAAACAGAGATTACAAAAACCTTTTCCAATTGGTTTGAATCAAGAATAAAGTTACAAACATGTTTAGATAAGAAATGCTATCTAGAAGCTGGGAACAAAACCTAATCGTCCACATTAGGTGACATTCTTAGACTTTCCTTTGGATAACCTACCGTTTGTCTTGAGCTGAACCTGAAACTCCCAAAAGAGTAGCCACTGCAACATTTGCCCAAATAATATTACCACTGCCTTCAAAACTGTGCCCACACATTGGATAATTAAAAGAACTTGTGTTCTATGGGGGACGAACCACAGATAGTTGAAGGTTTGAAAGAAAGAACTCCAAATCTTCCTAGAGAATTCGCAGTTGATTGATACTTATCTTCGTTAAGATGATTATTACACTTCAAACACCAGCTGGGGGACAGTATAACACAAGTGTTCCTCTTTTGGATGAAATCAAGAGTAGAACCTTTGCCAGGTTACTGAATGATTATTTATGACTTTTAACCGATATCATTTATACCATAAGAATTTAGTGATTTATACTTCCAATCCAAACAAAATTTATGTCAATAGTAGGGACCAAAAGTACAAGGGCAATCCAAATTAAAGAATCAACACTAGTGACCACACGAGTATTATTCACGTCATATAATAACAAACAAAATTTACATTCTGATCATCATCGACAAAGGGGGAAATTACAAAACCCCATATACACTTATCACACTTTCAAAAAACAGATAATACACTGACCTTATATTGAGAATGAAAAGGACGATAACCATAATTGCTATATCCGATTTTTGGTGCCACAACCATCCCACCACTAGATTTTGCAGCCTCGCCCAATTCCTTTCGCTCACCATCCGCTGCGGGCGCTGCATCGTCACCCCACTCTTGCTCTTCCATAGCTTGATTCTGATCATTATCCCCCAAGATAACCAGCGGGCGATCGTCTTCATCGTCCTCATCATCACCAACCAATCCACTTCTCTCCATTGCCATGGGCCCTCGATCACTGTCGTTTAAGACAATTTGCAAATCATCCTCACTGTCACTATCCCA